GGGGGGGGGGGGGGGGGGGCGTTATTTGTATTTTTCTCTTGCTGCTTTTTGGAAAACAGCTCCAAGTCTTCTGAAGGGGCTGCTGCCTCTGGCAGTGTCTCCTCCGCCGCTCTGGCTGCCACGGCCACCCCGCGTGGGCAGGTGTCCGTGGGAGAAGGGCTGCTGGGGACCCTGTGCTGCCCGCCGGCCGCGCTGCTCCCGCCCTCCCTGCACAGCCACTGCCCCTGGCTGCTCCTGTTCCCTCTTTCTTAGCAAAATCTGACCTCCCTGGGTCACTCCTTGGGCCTCCCAAGCGCAGTCCGTGTGAGGAGAGTTGGGAAGCTGCAGCTGGCCCCACTGCTGCTGGAGCCGGGCAGGACCGGCATCTCCATACGAGAGCAGCATCTCCGTACGAGAGCGGCAGCTCAATAGGGCAGTCACGGCCCTGTATTTCACAGGCCAAGCTCCCAACTGAGGCTCCTGGTGTCATCAGTGACTCCCAGCCACCATAACGGACTCAATGCTCTGCAGGAAACACAGCSATGGTGAAGTTAGTTACACGCAAAGAGCCTCAAGTCCCCTGTCAGCTTTGACCAGTTTCTGTTCTGCCTAGTTCTTCCTTGTCCTGCCTCTCCTTTACACGTCACTAACATCTGATTGCTAAGTGTGGTTGGACTCGAGTTGTGGTTTTGCTGTTTTTTTTACCCCTTGGAAAAAATGGCAGCAGCCCCAATGTTGGGGCTGCTGCAGAAGGGGTCAGCAGTGCTCAAGGCTGGCCTGAAGCAGGGCACGGCCCCAGTCCCTTCCCCTGCGAGGAACCGGCTGCGAGGACCCGTTTCTGGCCAGRCTCAGCCCTGCTCAGSCCTGCTCTCTGCGCCCACCTCACACCCTGGAGCCCGGGCTCCCTGATGGTGAGTGGATGTGTCTGTGAGCTTCCCCATTCYGGAGCCCGCAGTCTCTGCACTTGTGTCACTGCATCCTCAGTGCTTTGCCAAGAGCTGGTGCTGCCCAATGTATTGTTGAAACACATAAGTTGAAACGCAGGCAGTTGCATCTCCATGTGAGGAAGAACTTCTTCACTGTGAGGGTGCCAGAGCCCTGGCACAGGCTGCCCAGGGAGKYTGTGGAGTCTCCTTCTCTGGAGGTCTCCAAACCCGCCAGGATGCCGCCCTGTGCCCCATGCTCTGGGTGTCCCTGCTGGAGCAGGGGGTTGGACTAGATGATCCTAGAGGTCCCTTCCAACCTCAACCATCCTGTGATTGTGTGAAGGGCAGGAAAAGGGAGAACCGCTGGCCGTGCGCCCTTCGGTGGTGCTGGGCTCAGCCGGGGCGGCCTCTTGCTGCCGCTCCAGAGCCGCGTGGCGCCAGGGCTCGGCCGCGGCCTTCGCGCGGGGCGGCTGAGCGGCCGCGGCCTTCGCGCGGGGCGGCTGAGCGGCCCCTTCTGCTGTTCAATCTCTCGCTGAGCGCGCCTGAAACCTGCGGCCGACGCGCGCGCCCGCTCCCGCCTCCCGGCCGATGGCGTAACCGGCCCACCCGCCTGCCCGCGGCGCTTCGCTTAGGCCGTAGCAGCCAGGGGTAGTTTCAGCTTGCTGAGCTGCTGYTCCCGCCACCGTGTCCGTCTCAACCCGCGTTAACCTCCGGCTCCTCTGCCCGGCAAGCTGGAACGCGGCGTGACGACAGGCGCCGGCCACTGCCGACTCCATTAACTTTTCTACTTCTTTAATTGCTACAAATTGATTGAGGTTATGCTAAAATTAGCAGTGGTGATACTGCATGTAGTTATGAAAAGCCGTTTCTCTTAGTCCCACATGGATAAATGCTCTCTCCAGAAGAGAACTTCATTTTGACAACTCATCTGTCTAAGAAGTCATAATAACTGGTCTGGTTGACACCTGCTTATTAAAGGGTATTTTTATGGTGATTTGCTGCTGCAAAGGTTCTGGTTTCTTTTCAAACCACACCATGAGATACAAACTTCAGTAGTCAGGCTTACTTCATGTTTAACAACCTCATTCTGAAAATGCCTCGTAGTCCACAGCTTTAGTTATAAAACTGTTYTCATGCTGTCTTCATCCAACCTCTTGCCATGCTTTTTCCTAATCAATATATTATAATACCAGAACCCCCAGCTCAACAGATGTTTTCCTTGTTCTAAAGCTTYCCCAGGTAGACTTCCACCTTCTACTAAAAAAAATACTGGACTCGGGACCGTGGAAGTTGGTGAACACGAGCATCTCACCAGCGTGACTGAAGAATGGGAGAAGTGTGGGAGACATCCAGCCAGCCATGCCCCCAGGAGACCAGCGACAGATCTCTCTTGAATATATGACAACCTTACAAAAAGAGGACATKGAAGCACAAAATACCAATTTTACAGACACTCCTTTAGGAATCGAAAGTTATATTCTTGACAACTCCAGTTCAAGACAAAATTTGTAATCCAGATTACAAAAATTTGTCAAAATGTCAAAATTTGAGTCTAAAGCATGTGGAGCTAGACATGAGAATGAATGAAYTGTTCAAGAACTACCTTTATCTTGTACTAGTATGCACCTGAGAAGTTCTAACTGAAACAATATTCTTACTATTTCTGCAGTGCTAGTGAGTTTCATCTACATTTTTCCACAGGGGCAAAGAACGCATTGAGGTTTAAAATACATCTTGTAAAAATCAAAAAGATTGGAAAAAAAATCYGAAAACTTCATTTTAAGCCTTTTCAGGATCAAAGATAAAATATAAGTACTGCGTGAAATAAAAGCAAAAATCATCTGGTGTTCACAGAAGGGCTGTATTTTTAACTTTACTCATACATGTGTAAACAGAAATAGCTCATATTTTAAATAATCTGATTGCAAAAGAGTTAAATATTTTTATTCCTAATGGCAGCCACTTTTTCTCTCACTTCAAGAGCCATGCAAACCWTGAGTCCTTCTACACACACAAAACCCCTCCAAGTCCCTCTGCACTAAAAGCTGCTCACTCCATCATTTTAAAAAGTGTCCATTTATTTAATAATTAGTTATTTTCATTTCAAGTTTTTAGGGTAAACTACTATTTGCTGCTTAGCTGCATTCCACCAAAAATATTTAAATCAGTTTTGTATAGAGCAGGGATAGTAAAAACAAAGATGGCATGTAGCAGTTTAGCTAAAAAAATACAAATCTTAATACTTTTTGTAAACTCATTTAAGCAAAGCTATTTCTAACTGATCTGTCTATTTGGAGGACRCTTCTTTACCAAAAGAACATACAATCCACAGAAAAGATTTAACAAATGATGACTAAAAGTGCGTTATATATTGTACCAGCAACCAAATTTGCACTTCTTGTGTGTGTGTTTGTGTATATGTGTATATATATTTACAAATATACACATACATACACACTATGGATAGTACATGTATAACTAATATAGCCTAAAATCAATATATTAAATAACATGAACTCTGTTATTGAACACAAAGATATATATTAAATTCTACAGATTAAAAAATGTATACAGCTACAAGACAAAAATAAAGAGCAGCAATTTAAAAATGTTTAAATGTGTACATGACACCAAAACAAAATACAATTCAGAAAGTCCCACTTCATCCCCAGCAAGTCTGTTCATCAATCTTATCAACTCTGTGCCTGCATGCAATAAACAAACTTGAAGTTGTTCTTAAAGTTCATAAACTTTTTTAAGCTTCTCCAGATCTTCTGAAGTGTACTGATGATTTTGGTTTTCTGCAAGCAAGTCAAACAGTTGCTGAACCTCTTCTTTTTCCTTTTTGCTAAGGAGAGCCAGCACTAACTGGAAAAACAAACAAAAAATACATATAAAATCAGCACAAGTGACAGAATTTCACAGAGACTGACACTGGACAGAGATTCAGAGTAGCTTTCTTTTTTTACTTAATGTAAAATATTGGACAGAAATCTAGAGGAATTTAGATAAACATCCAACCTATAGTCTTACCTTAAATCTTTCTGCTTTACTCAGGTAGAAAAGGTGCTGATAAACAAGATCAGGATTTTTCCCAAGCACGTAACATTTCAATGCCTGGATAAACATGAAAAAGATCTCTCCTTCAAGTTTGTTACTTAGCAGCACTGGCAGTTTTGCAGGCTCAATCATTGTTAGGAGATCTGCACAGGCACCCTGATCCTTACTGGAATTCACGGCATTTATGATCTGACCAAAGTCATAAGCATTAGCTGGTTCTGAAATAGACAGTTTTTCAGAGCTCCTCCCYGGTGCCCTCGTTCCAGGGTCTTCAGGAACTGCACGATCAGTCCCAGCATCTTCTGAGGTAACCAACTCTCCCTCCTGTTCCTCCTGTGCATCAGACACCTTCAAAAAGGAAAGAGCAGCAAACCATTAAAATGGACATCCAGATAACCTGAAGCTCCACATAGCTCTTCAYAAATGGACTGAAGTTCTTTTCTTATATAACACTCCCCTCCCCATGRCGCATCTATCGTTAGAGGTTTTTAGTAAGAAGCCCTATTTTCTTTCTTTTAGATTTCTTTTCCGTGCCCAGCCCTCCACTCTAGGAAGGGAACTGAAGGCTGCCAGGAGACAACTAGAGCGCTGTGTACGTACATGACCTGTGAGGGAGGGCACCTCAGCTGCACCGGGGTGCTCTGCACAGCAGTGTTGCCCAAGTGGAAAGCTCCCCCAAACCCACCTCCCTTCTGCAGAGGTTGTAGTCTGCACTAAGATTCATGCAGCAGTCACTGGAACGTTTACCATGGGTTCAACCACATCTGCTGAAATCCACTTGGAGCTAGAGAGAGTCATGGAATTGCTATAAGCTGATTAAAACTCATGGAGCTGATGCCCAGATTTTGCAAACGCCTGAAAAAAGTGCACTGTGCAGCATAGGGTTGGGCTAGGGCCAGCTAAGGCATTTTTGCAAAATACTGCATTAGGCTCAGGGAGTGACTGCTCGGAATCTGCTCTATTTTTAAAAAAATCCTTAGTATCAAGGGAGACATTCTTGATTCTCCTCTATATATGTAACTACAGCTTGATTAAAATGGAGTAATAATAATAAATCAGAGTTTCGAACTAAACTTTATGTATATTTTTTTGGCAATCTGCTTAGAGAGCCTCCCTCTTATCTGCTGCAAGATGGGGATTGCCAAAAGCAGATTGCTTTTTTTTGGCAATCTCCATCTTGCAGCAGATAAGAGAGAGGCTCTCGAAGAGATCAGCTCAAATTCTCCTCACAAGTGTAAATGCCTCCTGCCTCAGCCCTGGACAAGTCTGCCCCTGCCAGGAACGTAGCTGGCTGCTCCTGCAAGAGCACAGCCACTTCCCAAGGCTCCCTGCACGCTCTCCAGGTCCCTGTTTGCCACAGTCCAGGGCTTAGGGAATTTAGGGAATACTGTTGCAGGCTTAGGCCAGTTACATAAATCCGGAGAATTCACGCAACTGCGGAGCGTTCCAGGACAGGACCTTGCTTCTGTAGTACTGATTTTTGATGACTGACTTTGAAATTTTGAAATTTCATTACCAAGTTACAGTAGCTTTTATAACAACTAGTAGCTACATATTTTATTATTCAACAGAAAAGGGAAAATATATTCTTAAAGGATCAAAGTTGATCCAAAACATCAATCCAGAAATACCACATTGACTGAGAAAATCCTTTCATCATCTAATTCAAACTGAACTCTGCACAGTTAGTATTGGGACCCAATGTGTTACCTTCTACCACGTATTCCTTTTACCAGATTCTGTGGGTATTTTCCCCATAGCCCTTCTCTGAAGGGCAGGATTTCACCCCTCAGAGGAGTAGCTGCTTCACTACTAGCCCAAGCACGTGTGGTGCATGTGCCCAGAGCGACCCTCAGCCAGCACAGCCCCACGGGCTGCTGAATAGCACTGACTAAAAGCAGAACTGCTATTTTGAAGCCTAAGAAGCTTTTGATTACAAAGATGTCCTCAATTTTACTGCCCTCTAAAAGTACTTCTTTTCTACTTCTTTTGTGGTTCTGAATGTACCTCAAGGCAGTACAAGCTTAACTGTAGAAAGCAATGGAGACCAAATACATGGTACACGAGAAACCTTCAATATGCTCTTAAAATTGCATGAAAATACAATACAGCCAAAAAAGTGTAGAGCAGTAACTGCAAAACAAAAGCTTGAGTGTTCTCTCTTCAAATGTGTGGCATCTGTACTGCATGCATGTAAAACTGAACACACACACCTCCTGTATGGTTATTTTCTTCCTTTGCTTTTGCTGAGTGCCAGCTCCAGCACTGCTTTTAAGGTTGAGCAGCTGGGTTATCTGCTGCAGCTCCTTTTTCGCTTCAAGAACATTTGGATCTATTAGCAGTACTTTGTTGAGGTCACCAACACTGGCCTGGTAATTCTGTGAGTAGAAAAGAAGGGACAGTTTTTATAAACAAGTAGAAAAATAAATCAGAACTGCCATACTGTTTTTTTTCTAACTTAAAAAAAACCCAGAAATGCTGGGTCATTAGTATGAAATGTGTAAAAATAACTACAAAACAGATAGTGTAATTTCATTAAAGGAAAAATGAAACTGATGATAGCTTTAAATTAGTAATTTACGTGTATTTTTTCATATTCAAGTATGTAGAGTAAAATAATTTATTTTCTGAATGTCACATCCAACTATCAGACACTATTGACAATTGCTGCTTTTAAGCTTACAATGTAATATTGCTTCAATATTAAAATAATGTGACTCTAACTGCACTTTTAATGTCCACTTTCACAATAGAGTACAGGGCTGCCAGCTGCAGCAGGTCCCCTCTAGTCCCATGTCCTATGTTACAGTCCAGCAAAAAAGCAGGGCTTTTTTCCTGATCTTCCCTTAACTTCACCTCAGGAAATCTATAAACATCCTCATTTACTAAATTAAATTGCCCTTTGGCTGTCATGAATAAGTGTTTGCATACTTATAATCTAATCTAGTTTTATCTTTGCCCAATTACATATATTTAGCTCTTAAAAATCTTTCATTAAGATTCATCAACCCCAGATCATTTTTATTGCTTTCTCTGATGTTATCAATCTTTTTTTTTTATATATATATATATATACACACACACACACCCCTCTTACAGATGTCTAGTGCTCTAGAAACATAAAGAAATAAGCCATCCATGTTGCATGTTTTGCTTGTATTTATCCATCTGTTGCAACTACCTGATTGCCTTTGAAGAGCATAAGCAAGTCTAGAAGAGCTTAACAATACCTGCCATGTTCTGTGTTCCTCACCTGCAACCCTTTGTGTGCCAGGGCTCTTCTGTAGAAAGCTTTAATATTAGAATCTTCCATCTGAAGAACATGATCACAGTCTTGCTTGGCCTCCTCATATTTGAACAGTTTCAAGTAACAGAGAGCTCTAACACAGAAAAACAAAACACACTGCAATGTAAGTAAATTTTGAAGTACTGTAGTGAGAGCAATACCCGACTCATAAATGTAAATTTTAATACTTCATGCAATTCCACCACAATCGGGTATTCTCAGTGGTACATCAAAACCAGTGAGTATTAATGGTATCACTGGATGGATTTAGAAAGTGCCACTTTCTGCAATATAAGTCAGAATTCAAGTATGACTCACCTATGTGCTTGCAGTTAAGCAGAAATGCATATTCTTCAAAGGCAGAGAGCCTATGCTAGCACAGTACCAATACCAAAGTTATGAAATACTGATTTTATTTGTTCTGGGGGGAAAAAGTACTCTGAATTGAATTAACAATATCACTTTCTGCACCCTATTCTTACTCACAAGTGTCCTAGGTTTGCAGTATTCCTAGTCCTACTGAAATCCTTGGTTTGTGGAAGCTGACAGGATTACAGCAGAAAGAATTATGCTATGGTACTAGGTCAGCCTTTAAAAATAATGCAACTCTGCACTGCTCCTACTTTTGTACTCAAAATTGACCTTCTCTCCAAAATGCTCTTTTTCTTATTTGAGATACTGCTACTTCACATTTGCTTTCAATTACACTGGCATTACTGAAAAATGCTGCAAAATGTTATGCTAATTACAACCCCATTGAGAACACTGATCAAATGGAAAATATCATCTGACAGTGACTGAGGTGATGCAAAATTTTTATTTGCAGTCATAAAATACAAGTATTGTTATCCCACAAAACGGGGTTGGCTCTTTACCTGTTAGTGTAGACAGTGCATTCTTTGGGATTTAACTTCAGGCACTCACTGTATTTATTCACAGCTTCTTCGTATTTACCCTTCTTCACAAAATCATTCCCTTCATTTTTTAATGTCTTGAACTTCTCCTCATCTTTCTCACCTATATTACAAAAGAATCACGTTATTTAAGAAGGTCTGTTCATTCAGAGCAGCTCAGCAGCTTGTGCAGACTGGGAACAAACGCCTGGTTTCTGCTGCATCTCCAATCAGCCAAGGCACTGCAATTCCTGTTTCAGATCTTGCTACTGCTCTAAAGAAGGAATGAATTATCATACATATATTTGGCATAACACACACCTTCTCATCCACCAGGGTAACTATTTCTGTCACACCAGGGTAACTATTTTGCTGAAATACCTAGAATACAACAGGCAGGTCTACACTTCTAACTCTGCTCATTCACCCTCTCTGTGTGAAGGACATATCTCTGATTTTATTTACAGTGGTGCAGATCTATCGACAGGATTAAAGTCTTCTCCATTATCACTGTCATGCTAGGAAGGCTGCAATGTAATCCAACACTTCTTCTGAAAGCAAATCATCCATCATGATTACTATGGTAAACTGGCAAAAGCGTGTTTTGAATAATGTGAAAACAACCAAATGTAAATATATACTCTGATTAATACTGTGTTCTGCCAAAATTATCTTTCTTTCTAAGCTCCATATCTCTCTTTGCAACTGGTTCCAAGTTAAAAAATTCTAATCTAACTTGGAACCAGTTGCAAAGAGAGATGTGGAGTTTAGAAGGAAAGATAATTTTGGCAATGTTGTGAAGCCTGTTAAACCTAACCATATAAACGACCATCAACTCATTTAGCTTTTCACAGAGGTTTGAGATAAATATTATCTAAAAATGTTTCTTTGACATTGCCAACAAAAATTCTATTTTTCAATCAGAAATTCTTTACTTGTGCCTGTATGTTTGCATTAGCTCTACACAGGTATAAGTTGCAACACAGGCAGTTCCATCTCCATGTGAGGAGGAACATCTTCACTGTGAGGGTGACAGAGCCCTGGCACAGGCTGCCCAGGGAGGCTGTGGAGTCTCCTTCTCTGGAGGTCTCCAAACCCTCCTGGATGCCGCCCTGTGCCCCGTGCTCTGGGTTTCCCTGCTGGAGCAGGAAGGTTGGACTAGATGATCTCTGGAGGTCCCTTCCAACCTCAACCATTCTGTGATTCTGTGATATATACCATTAATTTGCAACTGTTCTTCTCTCCTGGTGTCTGTGCTGGTCCTCAGCTTAGGCTCCGAAGCCAAGTTGCCTCCATCCCACCTGTGCAGCTGAGCAGAAACTGGAACAACTGGAATTGGTGGCAGCTTCTCCCTCCAACCAGGACCGTCCTGATCTATTAAAGTTTTTGTTATTCTGAAAGAGAAAAGCTCCATCAATATAGCTTTCATATATATTTTTTTAATGACACAGAAATTAAATAATGCAGTGTCCTTTTTCTTAGCAAAAATGACTGAGTAATTATCCCCAAGACTAATTTAAAAATAGTCCCAGCAACCAACAGTATTACATTTAGTTAATATTCTGATTTTTCCACTTTTTAATTAGAAAAGAAATCTCTTGAAACATTTTTTTTACATAGCCAAGGCAGGTTACAAAATATGTGTTAAACTGTATTTTACAGGATGCTCCAAATCCTTCTCTATCCCCATTTAAATGACAAGGAAAAAAAGAAATTAACTTCTCAGGGTCTTTCTTAAGCCCACAGATTAGAGGTCAACTATTCCCATACACAAAAGATTAAATGATTAAATTCAAAATCCATTATAAGGGAAGTTTCTCACTGATATGACTTGTTTTGCAGCAAAACCTAAATGAACATAATGAGTCATATGCAAGTTGTTCAGTTACATTGTTTTAGCATGTTAAAAAAAAACAATAATGAGAACCGGTAACATAAAAATCTTTTAATATCAAAGGAACTTAAGCACCAAGCTCAAGTGGTGATAAACTTGCAATCTATTTTAACAAATGAAAACTTTGAACTGAGTTGTAAAATGGGTTACACGGATACGTTATCTGAAACACCCGAAATCAGCACTTTAGGTGCAGTTCCATTTAGTGCACTTGTAATGTTAAGAATGACGTAAAATGAGGGGAAAAACTTTTGTCTTAAGTTTTCTTCCTTGGTTTTATTTTCTTTCAATATTTGAATAACGTGTACAAAAAAAAGCCCTCATTATAACATGGTTACAGAGTAAGAGCAATCAGTATCAAATTCTTTTCTCATTATCTACCTCAGGTCTCACAGAAGAACCAATACAAGAAGTTGCAACTGTTCTAATATATTTTGCTCTAAAAGAGCCAAAATGTTTTAAAGAATGATTTATCTACAAAGGCCTTCTGTGGAGCTGTAAAATATTTATATATGAAGCACTGTGAAACATACTTTTTATCTTAGAATTTAAGATAAGCTCTTTGTACTCAGAATATCCCATTTCATTGCATTACCTAGTTTCTTTTCTACATGTTTTTTTTCTCCATATTAGTTACATTTGCCCTTACAGGGCTCTCCACTACCTGGATGATTAATCAAGAGTATTTTAAAAGATGCCACCACTAAAGAAGCTTGTGCAAGTTCTTTTTACTCTAAAGCTTACTGCAAGTTCTTTTTACTCTAAAGCTTATTATTTTTTGAATGGTCGTCTGAATTGCTAAAATTGTTGCAGCTTTGGAATCTATCATGGGGCCACCAATTATACTGGACAATCCTCAGGTAGGGGCTTTGTAGCACGAACTCCCAAGGTGTCTAATGTTAATGTCAGTTTACTAAGTGATATTAAAGAAATTTCCATTCTTACACAATGAGAATGGAAAATTTAATTTACTAAATGGAAGCACATAAACATACCGTCCATCATTAGATTTGAACAGTGATGCAAGAGAAGGTTAAAATACACAAAACAAAAAAAAATATATTCACAGAGCCAGTAAAGTGTCCCTAATTACAAGCATGCTTGAAAGTATCTTCTTGTGATTTAGCCCACATCATTAGGACAAGTATCTGTCACTCTCCTTCCATAGAACAGTCTCCTTCCATAGACTTCAACACGTCTATCAGTCATCTCAGAAAATGAATAAAAGACACAATTCAGCATCTTCTAACCAACATGCTAAATTCTCCAATAACTATTTCATTTTGTTTTCATCTGATTTTTCATGAGAATATGCATGTAGAGTCTTACTTATTTCCTTTGGGATGTAAATGATCGGGTAGAGACTTTATACCAAAATTTATAACCCTCTTTTACATTAGAATTATTAAGACTACTAAACTCAACCTGGCCTCTGATAGGAAGATTTTTAGGAAGCCTGCTAAATTAGGGTGTTTTTGCAGATAAGCCTAATCAGGATTCATCACAAGCACCCTCAGATAAAAGTAGGAAAAGGAGCTTTTGTGCCAGCTTGCTACAGCATCATGATCCAGTTTCCCTCAGGAACACAAAAAAAAATGGGTAAATCCTCCAATAAAAAAGAGCTCACTAAGATTTATTATTCCTCTTAAAATACATTTTTGGCTTGTCCCTTTGAACTAAAAGTCAGTACACTTAGAACAGCCTTCATATTTTCTTAGAATTAATTTTTAAAAGATGCATTATTTCAGCAATGAAAATTAGTATTTTGACTATTTCAGTTTGATTTACAAATGATATTAAAAATGAATTACATTAAAAGTTCAATTGTGCAGGTGTTCTATGCTCTAGAAACAAAGAATTTGCAAGCAAAAATGAATTACCAGCAGAGGAGGAGAAGGAGGAAGCAGCTGAAATAAGGTGATGGGTTGCCAGGGAGGAAAGAGTAATGAGCAGTGAAGCTAAAGCATAAGGAAGGCCTAGAGAGGAGAAAAGGAAGAATGTTAAGGAAAAAAAAAAGAGGAAATAAGCTTATTACCATATAAGGTTCAAATCACTATCAGGAGAAATATGAAAAAACAGCTGAGGATAAAATAAGGCAAGAAGATCAGAAACATATAATCAGTCACATAGACACCAGAACAGCAGTTATCTCACCAAACCAAATGCTCTAGCATCACTGCAGACTCAGCTGATCAGAAACAACGTGTTATATGATCAAAAATAAGACTTCTTAGAGTGTCATGATCCTTTGGTCATCTCTGGCCAAAAGCCAAGAGTTTGAAGATGTGATGGCCTTCTCAAGAGGTCTGAGGAATTATGTCAGTGCTGAGGGGCTTCTGCTAAACAAACCATACTTGGTTCCACTGGTGAAAGTTGCATGAACCCATGTTCTTGCTCAATGACCAGCACTTGCTCTACATCCATACATTTTCAGAAATTAAAAAAGTAGGGAAAGAAAAAGAAGGCAAAATCCTGTCATTCAGGCACTTAGGTACTTACTGTGTCTTAATGAGAAAACTGAATCTTAATGAGAATAGTATATGCACAATTTTACAGTACTAATTATATAATTATAAATCTATACACTACATACTATATAGTATATAGCATAGCATTGATTATAGGATGTTATAATATTTATTATAAATATACATTCTATACAGAATATATAATGACAGAAATTGGGGCATATCACTTGGCAGCAAGAATTAATGTTGAAGTTATTAAAAAGGAAGTTAAAAATAACACTCATCTTTACTTCGTTTTTACACCACTAAGCTCTGTAGCCAACCACGCTATGAAGCTACCTCCGTGTTTTCACAACTGCAGCATATTTGCAGATTCATGTTTGACATAAATCTTAAACTGCCACAATGAGTACACCACGATAAAAAGGAAAGAAAAAATGAAGTGAAAGAAAAAAAAGAAGTATGGGAATTAAAATATTAATTTAGATTGCACGAAATGTAAGTTATGAAAGAGAATAAGCTGATGCCCCGGTAAAAAAGCTTTTAAAATATGACGTTTAAAAAAATTACCTAAGAATGTTGCAACAATGCATGTAACTGCATTTCTGAGTACCTCCAGTGACAAACATGGCATATATATATTTATATGGCATATTCGAGAATGACTTTAGAGAGAATGACAAAGAGGTGGCACTAAAATACAGTACAACGGTATATTGAAGGCTACAGCAGTCATCCATTTAACAGTTACACCCTAAAATGAATCTCAGTGTTCCAGTCTTGAGGCTAAACTTGTGTTACATGGATTACCACAGCAATCTTGCACAGTGAAGTTTGGTCCAGCAGTACGGAGTAAGAGGAATTTCTACCCAGATCACTCAAAATCATCTACTCATCTGGATAATTTTTTTAGTCTAATACATAAAGTCATTTGTATAAGACTAAGAGAAGTAACTTTGAAGATGCAGTGAAATATTCACCTGCTACTGTGTTCCATCATGCAGTGCAGTTCTTTGTAACTGAGGTTAGCTGGAGAACTGCACAAGTGTAAGGTGAATACTGGAAAGGGACAGAAATATGTTCTGCTCAGCTTGCTTTGATTTGTGAGAAAAAGCATAGAGCCCCAAAGGGCAAAACTGTTCTATAAAACTGACATGCAGGTGAAATTACTGGAATAATATTAAGAAAATGGTAGAAAAATGGAACAACAGTAAGAGACAGACTTTTAAAAAGTCACTATACACCAGAAATGTAAGGTTTATATGCAGTCACTACTACACATGATGTGGAGGATCCCTTAACTCTAATGTACAGGGACAATGAGTGGAGCTGCTGGGGCAGGACTAACAGCATTCAGGAAATTTTTATCATAAAAGAAGATGATCTGCTATCTTGGATTAGGATAGGGACTCACAAAGACCAGTTTCACATCTCAGAGTTTCCAGCACCAGACACTTAGACAAGAATGCAATAATACTTCCCTTGGAATATTTCCCAGCAGTTAGCAATAAGGAAAATCCTACCTAAGGCCCTCTTTGCAACTGGAAATGCAGAGACTTTCTGAACATATTGATCTATATGATGATTAGAAAACTACTGTGATGCAATGAACCAGGAACCAACAAGCTTTGTTCTGGACTGCCCTCACGCCACACCCCATGAAAGCCAAGAGCAAAGACACACATGGAAAAGGAGAAAATAACACAGGAGCAAAGGAGGGTTAAAGCAAAAAATGTACTTCCACAGCTGTTAAACATTTAAGACAGTCAAGTCTCCTCCTTTTCAAACGGTGGTAAAGGAAAAATACTCCTTATTGTGGTCCAGTTTGTGACTTCATGAAACACTTGCAGAGTTAAAGCCTGGAAGCTACAGGAAAGCTACTGAGTAACAACCACCAGCCTCTAGCCGTGAGGCTCCTGTCCCTTGAGGGAAGAGGAAATAAACAGAACTATATTCTGTTTTTCGATTCAGAATCCCATATGAGCAGAAAATTCATAGAGGACAGTTACCTATCAACACTCTCCTTTGCTGCTTGGATGCTGCTGTCTATCTGCAGAACGGTCTTGTAGTCGACGTAGGCCGGCCTGTAGCGCTCCAGGGCCTCGAGCGCCATTGCTCGTCGCAGCAGAGGCTTAAGAGAGAACGGCTGAAGCTCCAGAGCTCTGCAGAAAACAAGAACAACATCTGCCATTAAAAAATAGCCATGAAATATATTTTTTCATTATATATATACAGCTATATAGAGCATCTGTGATTTTAGATGGGCTTATAGTAACATAACCCGGGAAAGCAGGGACTGAGTGGTTTATTACTTGCTCAGTATCCAAAAGAGATGCAGTTATGAAACTGTTAGTGTTTTATTACAAACTTTACTCAAATTCATACATTCCATCTGGAAAATTTCTTCCTTCAAGAAAAGCCTGAAGAAAAGACAGCTGTTTAAAGGGAAAAGCTCTCTCTATGTAAAGCTCCTTGGCTCTATGGGAATCTCAAGTATATGGTGCTTTTGCCTACATGATTTTCAGGAGGTCTTCTTCCTTATATACACGTACACATATTCAAAAATGCATTTAATAAAAAATTAATAAACCCCCTGCCTATATTTGGCTTTTAGATCTTTGCCTGTTTTTTGGCTTCACTTGTTTCCTGTTCTGATTGTGCTTCAGTGGTCAATAGTGAGCTCAATATCTGACATGGTGTAATCAGGACTCCTTCCAAATACCACAAGCTTTTCTGGTAACATGAAGCAACTGCCTACAAAGGCATTATTTAAATGATCTTTTACTAATCAATGATTCTTGCTAATAAGACAAAAAGATCAACACTGCAATACTGAAGTTGAGATGAGCCTAGGGGTCTACTCTTTGATTTTTTAGAATCCCGGAGTAATTGAGGTGGGGAATTTCTAACCCAACCTCTTGCTCAAAGCAGGGTCACCTCTGAGGTTGCTCAGGGCTTTATCCATTTGGGCCTGGAAGAACAACACAGAGGAAGGAGACTGCTGTGCTTCCTCTCTGGGTAACCTGTCCTCATGCAGGAAAGGTTTTTCCTCAAGTCAGAATCTCCCATCTTTCAGCTTATGCCTGTGGTGTCTTGCCCTCCTGGTAAGGGGACCCAGGGCTGGTCTTTCTGCTAACCCCCTCGCAGACCTTGTGTGGTTGCAGTTAGGTCCTTCCAGAGCCTCTTCCTTGCAGGTTACATGGGCCCTGCTGCCCCATCCTCTCCTCACAGCCCTAGCACCTCAGCCACCTCAGGGACAGTCCTCACACACTACTGGAGGTGCTGTGTAAGGAGGGCTGGATACAGGGAGATGGTCATCTCCTACAAGCAAAAATACTTGGGATTCTGCTACTTGAGGTTGCAGGCTCTTAACATCCAGAACAAAGTAAACACTCGACCACAGATGAGTTCAGGGAAGAACACGTGGCTGAAAGAATAAAATTGGTGGAAATAGAAAACTATGTTTCTAGGTCAGCACTCAAGTATAACACAGCCACAGAGCAAGCCACATCACAGCACTAAATACAAGAAAAATCAGGTTACCATGTAGGAACCCTACTGCACTCTCTGTAGCAAGAACGAAAGGTACTTCAAGCCAGAGTCTTTGGAAAGAGACCCAACAGGGGTTCTGAAATACTTCTAAGTCATAAATAGCTACAGCATCACATAAGATACATGTTCAAAAATTATTTTATATCAAGAATAGAAGTGGTACGACATCATTTTTGTCTTTTAAGAGATCAAGTAAGCCATTCTTAGAACACCCTCCTAGGCTGCCTTCAGTAGATCAGGTGGCATTACCCAGATTGTGTGTGGCAGTTTTGCAGGACTGCTTCCCAGTCCCTAATCTCCTTCTACCTTTGCTGTGCTCATTAGGCACCACAGGTACTCGTGTATCAAGAAAACATGCTCAGTATTAAGGATGGTATCATAAAGTAATAAGAAAATGAGCTTCTAATTGGTAAAAATAGAAAATTCCAAATGTTAGTGTTACTGATTTCAATTATGTCTTATATACCAAAACAAATCTGAATTAAAAAAAAGTGAAGGTTGTTTGTTAAGCATGCAGTTTTGTTCCATGTGACAGCTGTCTATCATCTTGCAACTACTTTAACAAAATATTGTTAATAAGTCTCTTTTTTTCAGATGATGTTTTGAAGAAATTTTGCTACCAGGCAGAATGCATACACTACGTTAACCATTTAATACAAGGGCATATATGTATTTTATATTTAATTATTTTCACAGCTGAAGTGTGCTACATTTCTACAGCTAGGTTTCACTGTGCTACAGAAAAGCTGGATTAACTAACAGGACTTCTAATTCTCATGAGGTCCTATTTTGCTCCTTCTACCTCAATATTGCAATCCCACCTAAGGGAATATAATGAAAGACATTTAGAAATACTGCTGTACTTCAGTGGAAGGCAGTGTTTGGAAGGTGTTGAGGGTTCCTTCTTTCACTCCTATGTCTTTAAAAGCCACAACAAAACAGAAAGGATTTTAGCTCAATTCCTGAATAGCCATAATCACTGCTTTTAATTTTGCTGAATGTTTATAAGAAAAACACAGAATACACAGATTCACCACATGCATGCTGGAAAGCAGTTTCCAACTGTATTACAAAACGTGGAGTTAACAAAGCTTTTACATGTAAGTACAGAGAATTACTGAAGAAAGCCTCCTTTTATATTAAAAACGTTAAGCCTTCTACACATTTCTATTGTACCCATCAAGTCTAACAATCTCTTTCACACAGGAAGACAACAAACTAAAAGTTGCTTCTTCCCTGGCTAAAGTAAATGTTTATATAACTGACAAATACAGATGCCTGTCATTTAGACAGGGAATCAAGCCTTTATTAAAGGTGGTTCTAAGCCAAATTGTAAGAGTAAGATATCAATTAAAATGTTTAATCATCATCAGGAATGTTGTTGCCCTACATGGGAGGTTGCAATTTACCTGTTACAATCCTGAATACAGTCACTGCAGTTCCCTTCTTTGAGGTAACACGCTGCTCTGTTTGAGTATAAGATACTTATATCACCTGGACTTTGTTCTGCTAAAAGAATATACAATTACAATCAAAAATCATTACTAAAATTACATTCAAGAATTAAAGACGTGTATACTCTGAGTAGCACTGCAGTGATGCAGTTTGCTGATGATGCAAAGCTGCCAGCAGCTCTTTTTCATCATGTCACCTAGAATATGGCATTATTTAAACACTTCAAATTTAAATACTGCAAACATCTCTGCCCTAAGAAAGTTAACAGATCATTTCACTCATTTTCCTATATTTTGTACTATGTGCACTGTTCTATACTATCCATCACAAAGAATTTACTGCACTGTAGCTCGTGCCAAAAATCAAGGGATATGCCACGTTAGTGCATTGGTAGTTCCTTTAAGTAATCTAAGCAACAATCCTAGATTTAAGGATAAAGGATCACACTCACCTAAACCCACGACATAGTCAATTGCTGCTGAGTATTTGAGCACAGCTTCTCCAAACTGTCCACTCTTAAACAATTCATTCCCTTCGCTTTTTAGTTTGGCTGCAGCAGGAGGAAGCAAAGCCCTGTGTCCATCAACAGCCAGCGACCCTGCTCCATGGGATCCGGAGGTCTTCTCACCTTCAGGGCTTTCACTCTTTGGACTGGGCTTTAAATAGCCATTAACTTCACCTTCATGGTCTGCTGAAGGTTTTTGTGCTTTTTTCGCTGAAGTGCCTTTTTTCGCTCCACTCTCAGTGCTTTCCTTCTGCTTCTGTGTGTCTCTGTCTTCTGCCTTAACGCCACCTCCTTTGCTAGGAAACTTCTTCTGTGTGTTGCCCATTTCAGCCTCCTCCGGAGCTGCCGCTGCTACTACTGGCACACCGATTTCTACAAGGAAGTTAATCAGCACAGTTAGAGCTTGCATCATCAGAAGAAACTATTGCCACTGCAAAAGAGGGGTGTACTTCCAAGGAGCACACAATACTTAAGGAATCTTCATTTTATAAGGATTGCCTTGCTGCAGAAAACACTTACAAGAACACAGAAGAATTCCTAGTTACCAACAGTCTGTAACTATTGCTGAGGACATGTTGTCGTGGCACCTTATTTCTCCTTGCCGGGCACCTTCTAATCCCCAAGTCTGTAGTGTCAGAATGGTACAGAATATACCTTGAAATTAACTCTTTGAATACTGAATATTAAAATACCAATACTTTGATTTTCTATAAACAAATCAAGATTGTGGCATGCCGAAACTGGAGCAGACAACTGACAAAATACACATTACACGCTTTAAAACCTTCCTCAAATAAAACTTAGAGGAAGAGGCACAAGAATTCATAAATCATTCTCACAAAAGGTTTCACATAAACATAAATGCAAAAGGCTTTTTATAAAGTTTAAGTCATTTAATTTTTGCTAACATTTATTACTAATTTGAGAAAAATGCCTATAAGTGTATCAGATATTAACATAAACAATTTCCATAGTTACCTGAACAGATTACCATTCAAGTGTTCAAAAGCAGATTTCAAAAGAAAACTACATTAAAGAGCACTGACTCTTGAAATTATCAGTCAGGTAAAAGCAGCACTGTAAACAAGCAGCTTTGTGGTTCACTGTTATTAATCAAGATGCAGGGTTTTCATCTTCTCTTAATTAGAGGTGCKCTGCTGCCGAGCAGAATTTCCTAAATTCCTTCATATATATGAGTGATGACTCCTACTGAGTCAAACTAAAATTTTGAAGTTGATGGAGAAAAAAAAAATCAATGAACTCCAGTTTGTTTCCAAATTACAATAAATAAACGCACAGTATTTACTGAAATCAACGTATGTAGGATCGAAAAGTATAAGATGTTTAAAACTTTTAGTGCCACATGCAGCAGAACTGCTAGAGCCTCCTTTTATGTGGACGTATGTGTCAAGAGTGTGATTCTCAAGAGCCAAAGAGATGAATTCTCAATCTCCTACAGAGCCCTGCCTTCCCCAGTCTCAYTCTTTGGAAATATCTGGGGTTTTTTTTAATAATTTCTTTCCAGCATTTTCTTTTTTTTACAGAGAGAATAATGGTAGGATACATATATATATATATATTCTACCCCAAAATTATTTTAATCACGGGATTGTGATTCCATGCAACTTAAAGCTGTTTATTTTTGAGACTTCCATCCATCCTATAGATTTGACAAAACCAAGTATGCCAAAAAGGTTCAAAGCTGTGAAATAGGAAAGAACATGATAAATGGCTAGATAAACAGATAATAAAGACAGCACTATTATAATAATCATTTTCTTAGGATACATGCTAGAATAGTTTTATTTTACATTCACCTAGAGAATGCTGTATATACCTTCCAGTAAGAAAAAAAAATTAAAAGTCACAGAAAAAAAACATGATTGGGCAAATTTCTTTGACAAAATTCTACAGAAAAAGACTCTGGCAGACCCAACTGCCAAAAACAAGGCAAAAGTAAGAAAAGCAGACAGTTATTTTTCTCTAACGTCTATTTTCAATACTGTTTATTTTAGCATCGTCTAATTTTGCAGATTGCTAGCTTGCAATACAGCCTAAAAGCCACAGAAGGTTGGGCTTCACTGTGCTGTGAAGCCTTCACTGTGGCTCTATGAATCAGTAGAGCTCTTTTCCAAAGACTATACAGAGCAGACAGYTCTAAAAATCAAAAACACCAATGAACAAGCACCCTGGCACAAGTGTTAGGGAATACAGAAAAAAAAGGGGTCTAATGGATAACRGGGTGGCCAGAGAACCTTCTACAAGGCCTCAGCAAGAACCCTTCTAACCATAACAAGAAAGGCCACTGTAAATTATTACTCAAGGATACAGTGGCAAAGGAAGTTTCCACTACAGTAAAATTCTCGTCAGAGAKATTACTAAGAATTAAGATTTGAGTAGATGTGAATAGCGTAAAGGCCAAGTGAGTGAAGAGAGAAGCTCAGGTGCAGGAGCACAGCCTGGAAGTGCTGAGCAAGAGCTCGGGCCTCCATCACCTCAGCACTTCAGCCGTGCTGGGGACACAACAGCAGGCACAACTGGTCTCTTAAGCAGCAAAATCTCCCACTCAAAATGCTTTGAATCAGAAGCTTCAAAATGCCAGAAGCTTCAAAATGTTCCATGGAAAGCCATGAAACATCAACATGCTCAGTCTATTTGTTTCTATTTCCTTCACAGAACATATTAGATTTATTCATTAATTGGACTTTGTTTCCAAATGCAATTTAAAATTCAGAGTAAACCAGGAAGACGTAAATGCCCCCTAAATCTCAAAATACTCATTTATTTTCCATGATCATATACATCATTCACCTTAGSTGCCAATTTTCCCTGTGTTTAAAATCCTAACCTGTCATCAACTGAATGGGAGTCTTCCTATGGATCTAAAAGGCAGTTAGTCATCTGCATGCTCTCAGCAAAAAGCAACCTCAAATTAACTCACATTTAAGGCTAGGAATGTGGTCCATTCTTTCTTCAAGGGTTTTACCTGAGGACACTTAGTATACACATATTGATTTTGAAAAAAAATACGTTTTTTAAAGTCTTGTGCAAACAGTGCATTATTAAAGCACACACTTTCTACTGGACAGTTTAAAGCTTCAAGTGGAAAATTCTGCTTACTGGAAACGCACAGTGCGTGGATCCACATTAAATGATAGGTCTAAAATCATAAAGGATGCAAGGAAATAAGTGATTTTTAGGAGCATTTGGATGAATTGTGTGAATAAAGCTTATAATATCAATATCAGATTTTTTTTTATCAGGTAAAAATTGATCAGAAAATGATATGACATTACTTTTATCTCCTCTTCTTCTTTCATTCTCTTCTGTACTCCCTTCATTTTCTTCATCACCTTCTGAACCTCCTATATCTTGAATTAGTATTCGTTTCCCTTTGCTTTTAGTCTCAGATACAGGCTTTAAATCTTCCAATTTCTGTTCAATCTCTAACAGATTTTTCTGCAATATGGAAACAAATAGCAATAGCATAAATCTTCTTTAAAAGAATATAAAATGTAAATAGACAGAAAGTATATATATAGAAAGAAAGTATATATATAGAAAGTATATATATATATAGACAGAAAGTATATTCTGTTAAATAGCCCACATAATATACTGACAAATTGACCAGCAAATAACTTCACAGAAAGAAGTAACAAGAAGCAAGCTGTAAAAACCTCAAAACGTGCTAGCAGTAGGACTCAAACAGAATTCATGTAACTCTAATGCTGAAGATGTCCAGGGGCATAAGAAAGTCAATTGCAAGGACTGGGTTCTAAATCACAAATCACCTTAAGAAAATACTGATTAAATGACACGAAACAATCTTGCCCTGTCTAGCTGAAATTATAGCAGTCTAAGTTCCCCATGCTGGCTTTGAATTTGTGAAGAAAACATCCTGCTTTCTTAGATCCCAAATGGGTAACCATCTTGTCTTAGGTCCAAAAAGTCTAGAATATATATTTTTTTTTATATAATTCTTCTTGTGATTTGTCTATCAAACTTCAGGTATACCAGGGTAGATATTTTTGAAAGAAATTGCCAGAGAATTTTCCTTAACCAAGTAAGTAACACCATGAGTTCATTAGCAGAGTTGTGGGCACCTAAACTACTTTAACAGAGAAAACTGCAGTGCACACCAGCCCTCAGGACTAAGCAGTGAAGAGCAGACTTGGTGGATCCCATTCAGGTACCTAATTTCCACCACAGGCACCTTGCCAAGTGGATCACTAGCACAGCTRGTGATATGTCACTGTGTCCTCCGAACTCAGGTTCAAGTCAAACAATATGAAGTGTACTCACTTCATTCTCCTACTCCATACAACCTTTCTCCTAGTCATATGAAAGTAATGTATTCTTACCTTAGCCATGGCATTTTCTGGTTCAACATATAATACTTTCCTCAGATCCTCTATAGCTGTCTGGTAATTCTGCAGATGATTGTGGACAGTGGCACGGCGCATCAGAGCTACAAAGGAAACAAAAAATGTATTATTTATATATACACTTGAAGCATAAAGATAACACCATACTATTTTTTCAATGTATAGGAAATATACGTGTAAAATGATTTCAAAATCCTGCAGTTACCTCATAATGAGGTGCTAATTGATCTTTTGATCTTTTTTAATAGCAGTAATTTGACGATACCTTCATTTGAGATAGTGATTGTGAATGATCTCATATTTTTCCAATTTTCCCACTCCTCTCTTGTAAGTATGGTTAGCTATAGCCAAGCACTTACCTTCGGAAAGGAGTAAATCAACACCCTTTACTGTTTTCATGTTGCTTTAAAGGTGATTAATGCTTCATTGTGATAGTATGGAAACAGTGCACTGTATAAATACAAGAGGGCTTGTAATCATCATATGAGAAGTAGGAGTTAGTTCCACGTTACTACATTAAAATAGCTCTTGCAGATCAACAGAACTGGTTACATAAAATTGCCCTGACCTCCAAATTACTGTGAAAATTAGTTTGAGGAACTAACCTGTTTCCTTCTTCATAATGAGAACTGATACAAAACTCAGTGAGGACAACAGGACATTTTTGAGTCCTTTTTTGTTTTGCATTTTTTTTCTAGAAATAAATTAATATGTGGGAAGACAAGTTTACATTACACTTTACCTTTTATGTTGCCAGGTTCCATATCTAGCACCTTCTCACAGTCCTGCAAAGCACTGTGCCAGTTCTGAAGTTTGATTTCTGCTTGAGCTTTGTTGTTATATGCAGCCACGGTGGGCAATACTGATATACTCCTGAAAAACAGTATTGAGCATGGTAGGCTCACATCTATAAAAGCTGAACGTAGAAACAGTTCACTATTACAAGTTGAAAACAGTATATAACAATATTCCTACTGATACTAATTAATGATCAGGGTTAGAGATTCCTTCCTGCAGGAACAGTGGCATTCACTRACCAACAAGATTTACTGTCTTAGGAGGGGCTTGTGGGGCCTTCAGTCAGGGATGGAGAGAAGCTGTCATGGCTTAGCCAGACCTTGAACTATTAATTCTTGCTGCCCACCCATGTAGGCTCTAATGATACTGCCAAACAAAGACCTGTGAGTAGCAAGAGTGAGTACGGAGCTCTGGAGAGCTGCCTGGTGAAATGTAGAGGCTCAGGAGGGCTTCTCCTTGTGTTGCTTGTAAAACTGAAAGGCTGAGGATGAACCTCCGGGTCAGTGCCTGGCTGTGGAGCTGATATTGTAAGCAGAGCTTTGGCTTCTATGACAGAACAGTTTTTGATGCATGAGGATGGCTGGGATCCAACYGACAAGGTGGGACAGGAGCATCTTTGACAACACACTTGCTAACTTAGCAAGGAGGCCTTTCAGCTAGGTTCAGTGGGATGGGTAGTCGGAACCTAAAGAGCAGGGRGACAATTAGGAAGTGCACAGGAGATGACATCAGAATCACAGAATTCATGAATGAATTCTAATTCATTATTCTAATTCTTCTAATGAAGAATTCTAGAATTCTAGAATTCTTTATTACTGAAGAGACACGCCACTTCCTCTGTGAAAGCAAACATGAGTGGAGGACCATCTTGTGTGCTTGTACACAAATCTACAAAGCATGGGAAATAAAACAAAAAAAAGAAAAGAAATATGTGTGCAGTTACCAAGCTATGATCTCAGTAGGATTACAGGGACATGGTGGTATAGCTTGCTTGATTGCAGTGCTGTGATGGGTACATACAAGCTCCTTAGGAAGGACAGGCTAGGAGGGTGAGAAGGCTGAGTTCCAGTCAAGGGGGTGACTGTAGTGTGTGCAGRTTTTTCTTGGAACACATGACAAACCCATCAAGAGCTGATGGACAAGCTTAAAAGGACAGGCCAATGTGCTGACATCACAGAAAGTGGCTGTTTCAGACTGGTGAGGAACAGCAAGCAGGTGAAGTTTTCTTCAGATTGGGGAAGGCCTCACAAYTGCAGACCCTGGATATTATGGGAAACCTAAACCACCCCAGTAACTGCTGAAAGGGCAAATTCACAATGCACAAGAATCACAGAATCACAGAATATTCAAGGTTGGAAGGGACCTCTAGAGATCATCTAGTCCAACCTTCCTGCTCAAGCAGGCACACCTAGAGCATGTGGCACAGGGTGGCATCCAGGYGGGTTTGGAGACCTCCAGAGAAGGAGACTCCAAAACCTCCCTGGGCAGCCTGTTCCACTGCTCTGTCACCCTCACAGTGAAGAAGTTCCTCCTCACCTGGAGAAAGAAATTTGGAGTGTACTGAAGAAAATTTCTTGGCATGTGATCAGCAAGTTGACTAGGGAGATGCTCTACTGGAGTTGGTACTCACAAACAAGAACTGGCTGAGAATGTGAAAATTAATGGAGCTGCCCAAGTAGCCTTGGACTGCAAAAAACATGAGAATGACAATCCTGTACTTCAGAAAACAGGATTTTGGCTTTTTCAGGAATCTGTTTGGCAGGATTGCAAGGAGCTTCTCTAAAGGGCAATGGGGTCCAGGAGAGCTGGTTGATCTTCAAGAACAGCATCTTCCAAGCACAAGAATGTTCCTTCCAAGGTGTAGGAGATGGAGGAAACATAGCAGATGGGATTAAAAGGGAACTCTTGCCTGAGCTCAAACACAAAAAAAGAAATACACAACAGATGAGAGTGGGATAGGCTAYGCAGGAGGAATACAGAGGCACAGCCTACACATTAGTAACAGAATTAAGAAAGTAAAACCTGGAATTGAAATCAGCGGGGAAGCGAGGGGCAACAAGAAGGTTTTGTTTGTTTGTTYGTTTAAGTAAATCAGCAGCACAATAAAGATTAAGGAAACTTGAAGCTCACTGTTCAAYGGGGCAATGGACTTAGTGACAAAAGACATGAAAAAGTCTTAGGTACTCAATCTTTGCCTCACTTCCTATTTGTAATGTTTGCATAATGATTTTTTTTCTAAACAGTATGTTTTATTAAAATAATTTTACTTATTAATAACAGATAATCTGATCAATGAATTATTTTTTTCAGTAAAGCTGTCACTAATTTAATTTCTAATTTTTAATTTTTTTATCCTTTTATTTTTATCAACTTGTAAGTAAAGTAGTCTTCTGTAATGTTCACATGTAACAGTCACTAAAATAGAGGCACACAGTAGYATTTACTGACCGACAGTAATATGTCACTGCTTCCATATAATCCCCAATAGCAAAGGCTTCATTGCCCTTCTCCTTTTCACGAGTAGCAATAAAGATCTTTTCTTTCTTTGTCATGCCTAGAGAAGAATATTCATACATAATAGTTAACAACTTGCATAGACACTATCAAAACATTTTCAGCTGAAATACATTGAATATCATTTTCTGTATATTATTTTTAAAAATGGAAAGAATATAGCTTATTAAAACACTAGCTTCTGTTTTATTTTCTATAATATAAACCTAAATGATTGTGATCCACATATAATTTAGCATACAAGATGGAACCTATATATAAAGAAATATAAAATAAAATATCTCAACTGATTTTTAATAGCAAGACTATATTGTTAAATATGGCTTTATTTTCAGTGGATTTGTAAGTATTTTATCACCTCCAGAGTCTCAAAACTAAAACCTACACTTTTTCCTCTGGAATGTGCTTCTTCAGTTTATGGGCACAAGCAACTAAACAGTATTACATCTGAAGAAAAGAAAAAAAATATATACTTCTAAGCCATTACCTGTTGTATCTATTTTATTTTCAATTACAGGTAAACTTGGTCTAGTAAAGAATCTTGCTTTGGAGGTACTCTCTTCACAGCCGTCATCAATTTTAGAGCACTCCTTTTCCACATCAAACCTTGTATTTAAAAAATTAAAAAATACAAGAATGCTTCATTGCACAACTCCTCTGCTAAGTGAAAGGCATAAATATTTTAAAATTATAATACCAAAAAAATGGAGATAAAGATCAACTGTGTTCAGTTATCCACGACCAGTTAAGATATAAGACTTAACTTTTTTTTCTTTCTTTCTTTCTTTTTTTTTCTTTTTTTTTTTTTTTTTTTCTTCTTATAGATGTATACTCCTCCCCATCCACCTTTCTGGTTAAGAAAGCAAACAAATAAATACCTTGTCATAAATACCCTCTGTGAGGGTGTGAGAAAGATTTCTGAACAGCATCTCAGACACTTCCCAGCCCTACTCTGAAGTGACTTTTGAAAAAGCTGTTTAGGATTTTTTTTTTTTTTTTAATAAATATTGTTGCTGTAGTCCTAGAAAATAAATATAATAATAACCAGCTCCTAGATGAGCAAATAACTGTAGAGTTATCAGCATGCCAAGGTACTTAAAGATCGAGCACATACATAACACTGTAAGCAAAATATAACTTTAAATGATATGGAGGGAAAAGAGATGAAAATTTATTGTTGTAGGTTTTTTTTATATAACAGATTTCATTAATCTACATTTAAACAGAAAGGTCACAATTTCTATGACACATACACTTGGAACTGATATGCACTGCAAACTGATGCACACAACTGTCTGCAAAAACAGTGTCTTATGTAGAAAGGGCTTTTGTAGTTTTTTGGCAAGATACTGAAAGAGTTTTATCCTTCAAACTCCACAGTTTCCGGATGCAGCTCCCCGGCTGCAGCACTGGAAACCTGTGCATCATTGCTCTGGTTGTACAGCATCATATTCCAGATTCAAAGAGCTGCAGAGAAGYTGCTGCTGCTGCTGTGCACAACAGAGCAGTAGGTGCATCCTACTGCACAAGCTGAGGGAACAGACCTGTCACGTAACTGGGGTGACAGTGTCGCATAATAAAATGCCTGTGCAGCAGGGCTTCACCCGCCCTAGCAGCCAGGCCCTGTCTGCAACCTGCCTGTGTGTAACTGCACTGAGCAGACTAAGGCACCTGCCTCAAGCTGTTGTTCTAGTTGGTGGGACCTACTGCAAAAATATGGATTCAGCAACTTTCTTTGTGATTTGGCATTGTGGCTTTAGATACGCAGAAGATAAAAATTTATGAACATGTGTTAAATAAACTTAGAATTTTTTTCAAAAAGCTGCTGAAGTAAGCTACTTTGAGTTGAGTTTCTATGTACCTCCCTAGATTTTGTATTTTAGAGGTAGAAAATCTGAAAAAGAATTACTAAAAAGGTATAGACTAAATTGTTTTCATTTATTAGTTTTTCATAATAACCATTCTGTTAAAATGCCAATGATATAACGTGGCGCCAAGTTTCACTGAAGTGCTGTAATTCTCTGAAAACATTGACCTTAATATTATGTTTCTGTGAAATACTTTTAAAAGTCTAACAACTCTGTTATCATTACTTAAGTAAATAAGAGTTAAAAAAAGTATAAATATAAATGATTTAACATACTTGTCCCATTCACTGTAATCCCGTGGTATATTTTTCTTGTTTCTTTTTTTGTCTTGCAAGTTTTTGTTCTGAAAGAGAAACAGCAGGTCTGTGAGCCAATTTTTAAAAGTGGAAATTCACAGCCTATTTGTTTGTTCCTGCAGTACATATCACCTGCAGCTAACACTGTTTATGACTAATCTCAATGTAATCCTGTCGAGTTCACTCATCTTGCTTTAAAGAAAATCTTCCATGCATTTGAGATACTGTATTCAGAGGAAATCTTCAGTCTTTCACTTTCTCTTCACTGCTCTGTTAAATGTTGCACAAGTTTTAGATAAAATCTTGGATAGGAGACAGCTCTTCCTCAGTAATACCTTGTGTTGCCATTTTCCAAACCAGCCCTTTCAGTATAGCAGAGAAGACCTCTAATTATTCTTGGGAAATCCCAACAGTGTTGACATAGAGATTGAACCACTAGCCTCATTCTCAGCCTGCCATTGCCAAGAGAATGGAATACAGAGGATCTGACAGCCCCAAAGCCCTCTGAACAAACGCAACATAAAAGTTTGGTTTGATTTCAGAATAGTTCCTGTACTTCCTTTGACTAGTTCACCCTCCCATCAAACTAAGCCTTAAAATGATTTATGTTCGTTCTATCTTCTAGGCATGATTCATCATTATGAAATGCCTTACTCCAAATTTATTCTTCGAGCTTCCTGCAACAATCAGTCCCAGTAACTGACTTAACTAAGTAGCATCTCAACTCACATCCTATGCTAATGGAGCCTACATCCATTGCTGGGACCTTTGCCATCTTTTGTACCTCTGTACCTGTCATAAGACTTTGCCTTTCACAGAGTGGTTGAGGTCGGAAGGGACCTCCAGAGATCATCTAGTCCAACCCCCCTGCTGAAGTTGTGTGAAGTTTGAGGCTTCTCGTGACAGACTTTGGAAGGTGCATCACCTCATCCCTGAATTCCCAGGTGTGGTTTTGGTAGCCCAGCAATAGCTGGTTTGTTAGTGCACACTATATGTAAGGAAGAGAACGCCTAACTGAGTGAAGAACACTTCTCGGCTTCTCGGTTCTCCAAGCAATGTTAGTGGCCAAATTTTGTGTGTGTAAAGTGAGTCGTTCACAGATATGGTTCTCAGAACTAAGTAGGATGGGGAGTAAAGGGATCTCTTTGCAGAATCCCAGAATGGTTGAGGTTGGAAGGGACCTCTAGAGATCATCTAGTCCAACCCCCTGCTCCAGCAGGGACACCCAGAGCACGGGACACAGGGCGGCATCCAGGCGGGTTTGGAGACCTCCAGAGAAGGAGACTCCACAGCCTCCCTGGGCAGCCTGTGCCAGGGCTCTGTCACCCTCACAGGAAAGTTCTTCCTCACATGGAGGAAATTTTGAGTTGTCCCTCCCTGCTGTTGACTCTAAAGGATAGTTAACAACAAGGTGTGGTCCCCAGGAGGCCCTCCCCAGTGACACAGCCAGCTCAGAAACTGCCTCCYGCTCCCTCCTGCCCTTCCGCCCTGCTCCTTCCCTGCAATCCATCCCTCATGGAGTTAGACCCATGTAGCTGTTCGGGGGGGTTACAGGCTGACACTCATCTGTGTTTGAACAACTTGCTACAGTTTACAGTGCAGTCCCTAAATGTTTATACAAGTGCCTGTGATAAAGTGGACCAAGACGAACCCAAACAAACCACAACCTCTTAAACCAGTTTAATAAGTGCTGATACTGTATCAAGGAAATATTTCCCCAGACCAATTTACGTCATGTAAATGGACCCTSCTGGTAGAGCTTCAGGCCACCTGAATAAACTTTTGGAGTATGTGACTTAGAATAAATACACTCTTAATGTTCTTGATCTTTCAAGAAGGTTGATAAAAGTACAAATACATTTAGGGATTAATACATATTTGGAGGTGGTGACTCCTAAATAGSGCTCCCCCGAATATGACTTTTATTTATGTATTTTTATGTATATTTGTACTCACATATTTATTTTGGAAACAGATTTCTGTTACTTAAATAAAAAGGCAGATAGTGATGACAAAAAATGGTGAAACTCTCAGAAGAAAAGTCATAAGGTATTTTCATTAATGCAACTGTAGCATAGGGAGAGAAYTTTGAGCTTGTCCTTTGAGGAACGTGACAGAAGTCTAGACCCCAAAATACACAAATCGTTACACAATTCCAGGTTTCACACTCTTGGGACCACAGCAACCAAGCTGCAGAGTCAGGAATCTCACAATCACTAATACTGCATCTCGTCTGACTTCCACAAAAAGCATGTTTTCATCCTCTGYCTTGCTTTTCTCTGGTACTTTGCATTACAAGCAAAGAATTAAAAAAAGCCTCTGCTCTTGTCATTTCTCCCTGGAATGCAGTACATACAGACCTCACAGAGAATCTTTCCCRTAACTGGACGTCAGTAAGAAGAACCAACCATACAGAAACATAAGCTATCGGCACTAAATTTAAACTATAACTATATTTAGTATCAGCAGGAGTATCTGCTTACAGACAAAAGAGATGCCTTCGCCTCTCCAACTTGAACCTGCTGCTGTAATACACTGATTTAGGGACAGGTCCCTAAGGGTTTTCAGGATTGATTTCACACAAGATAACTGGAATCTTTAAGCATCAAATAAAGTATGCAGAGCCTCCAATAAAGTAACATAGATTAAGTGGAGGGATTGTGTGTTTCTAACAGAAACGACAAATTTATCAYACCAACTTTATTTTTGATATCATGGTGTGAAACTATGTGATCCCTGTCTAAAAAGGGAATTACAGTCCTAAATGATTAGTAATACATGTTTAAAAACTATCAATTTACACACAGTTTATCAGCAAGAAAGAAAAATGAATATCAATTTAAGTGCATTAATCTCATTTTTTTGAGATTGATATTCCAGTTGATTTACAGGTTTATAATAAAAAAASAAACCAAAACAAACAAAAAAATCCCATTTACTCAGTAGTGATATAATTGCACTACTATATAAAAACTGGAAATCTAAAACTCAATTTCAGGTCTCCATTCCCTCTTTCAAGGTAAAATTATTTCTGAGGCAGTCTGCTTGCACAAAAGGAAAAGAGGTTACGCACAGAGCTATAGCTGGGTTTCGTTGTTAGAAAAATGATGTTACTACCTAAATATCCAATGGAGAATAAAAATAAAAATGATTAAAAGTTGAACTCAAGGCTGTTGTAGGATTTAAATCAGGAGCAAAACAAAATAAAATTCTAAATGACATTTTGTCTTTGAATGAAGATCACATTCTCTTCAGGAGGGAAAAAAGTATATCCTAGACTTTATGCCTCTTTACATCAATTTATGCTGATATTCAATCTCAGGCTTACCTGACTTTACATAATATTTTATTTAACAAGTTCCGTCTGTCTAAGGAACACTCATGTACAACATAAGTGTCAGGAGCAATTATGCTACTGTCACAAAAACAATAGTCAGGATGAACTTACACTGCAAACTCTAAACTAGGACATACTAATGAAAACAAAGTGAATGTCAATAATAAGCACCTATAAAGCATTACACTGGAATTTCCAGCCTCCTGGTATCCCAAATAATGGAGAGTGCAGAGTCACCCCAGAATCTTAGTCTGGTGTCTAAATATTAGCTGACAGCAAGACGTAGTTACTGACAATGCAGCATCCAGGCATTTACTAACACTTGAATACTAACAACAAATCAAGATGATTTGTTAAATTAACAATAAATAAAGAAGATCATGACCCTCATAAAGTTCTTTTCATAACTTTTTGAATTTTTATGTGCCACAACAAAAAGGAAAAATCTTTTAGTGAACTCACCATAACAATTCCCCCAAAAAAGGTGGAAATCATATTGAAGTCATCATGATAAGATCTGACAACTCAAAAAATCCCATTCTCACACTTGCTTTTGCGTAAATGTCTCCTGTAGCACTATATTTTTTGGGGGCAGGTAAATAAAATGAGGTGGAAAAAAAAAAGGAGAGGAAAATAATACCTGGAGGAAATTTAAATGTTTAGATCCAAATATTTGTTTTAAGTTGTTTAAATATGCTTTACAGCTAAACTAGGAGTTTGGTTGTTCTCTAAGACTAAAAGTGGAAATACCAAAGCAAGGTATTAAATAAGGGCACTCAAAGGCTACATTTACACTAGTTCAGCCAAACATAAAGGGGCTATGGACTGAAAGATAYATTGGTGCAGAGAATCCAGCATCCATCTTCCATGTATCTGGGGGGATTCATTAGGGGATAGCTTTTCTCATCTCACAAAACAAATGCCTACTGGAAGCTGGAGAAATTCCGAGTATAGTTTCATCCAAAAGGAATCTAGATTATATGCTTTAAGACCATTCTGAAATGTGAATCAAAGGACATAAAGGGACATTTAAGGAGGTTTGCTTCAGAAATTAAATCCTGATTAAAATTAAAACATTATTACATTAATAGTAAACATTAATATTAGCATGTGGCTCGTAATAGCAAAGAGGCGCTTTTGTTTGAGCATTCACCTCTCACAAGGGAATTTCCAGGGGGTGTTTTGGTTTTGTTTTTTTTCTGATTATCAAGCTCATAAGAACAACCTCGAAGAGTCCAAATTCCTACAAACAGAAATTTCTGTTTCCAGAAAAAACTGTGATTAGTGTACATCTGTAAAAGCACAGCTTTAGAAAACTGATTTAGATACCTGATTATCAGGAAGACAGCTGCTAGAACAACGAATAGCAGGCAAGTTGTCTTCTCTTTCACGCAGTGTATCTGTTTCAAGAAACTGGGATTTATCATCATCTTCATTCATTTCCGTCACCCAGCTCTGAAAGGAAACAACATATCTGGATCCTGAAGTAGTAAAACAGACAATCTGCAGAATCTGCAATGACCTTAACAACTATCTCCGTAATGCACTGCTCTTAATGTAGGGGGAAAAAAATCATTAATTAAGATTAAGGAAACCTTAAACACAAGTTCCTGACTGTAAACTAAGAGTTGTTTCTTTCAATCCATCTGCTGATTCAAGGAGCAGTAAAGATGAACTCAGTAGTTGTAAGAGCTCCTTCCTTTACTGGTACAAGCATTGTGGGGTTTTATAGACAAAATAAAAAGGAAGAAATATTATAAAGTAGGCACAGAAGTAKAAGTGCCTTTAGTCATTCACAAGAGCTTGGAGAATCTTCTTCAAGACAGGAGAAATAAATTTCTCTGACAGAAATAGCAAAATTAGAACATTGGTTCTTATGACGTATCTTAAAAACATAAAGAAACATAAACCTTCTCAAGTTATGCTGCTTTTCCTACTGTAAAAAATGCATTTCCTAAAAGTAGTTTATAAATGCTTTTTTTTAATTAAAAATTTAATTTGATTTTTTTTTTTGAATTATATATAAGCTTGATTCAGTGGAATCGTTTAAAAAGGTAAAAGAATAAAAATAGATAATCAGACTCCTCTGACCACTTCTAGCAAATGCACCACGGTATGTAAGACTAATGGTGAAAATGCTGTAGCACTAGCAAATAACCACATACTGCTTATGCTTAAGAAGCTCAGTCTTCAACAGTCATCTGAGATTGGTATGTCAGAGTAATTACAACTCTCRTCACTAAAAATAGTAAATTAGAATTATACCATACCATTAGTTCACCATTAATTGCTTCCCATTCTTCAGCTGTAAAATCAGAAGCTGTGGCTGCAGGCTTATCTTTTCTGAGAGCTCTGCTCCCTGGGTGCAAATGCTCAATACGCTTTTCACAAAATACTGTAAGGTCAGGATAATATCCCTCCTCACCAGACCTTTAAAATAAATTTAACAGTTATGAAAAAAAAAAAAAAGAACTTTGCTGCATTTCCTACAAATCTCAATATTTCTAAGTGTACTACAGTGACTGCAGAAGACTTCCCCATAACTAACTTCATCTACATCTAATGCATTTTGATAAGAAATTCATAGTGAGTCTGAGTTAATTTTTAAAGGATATGCATATCCTTTAAAAACTATCATTGCAATGCTAATTAAAAAATGCTCTTGTCATTTGCAGAAGAAGCTAAATAAACATGCCATCCAAAATCACAAAAACCTTCAGGCAAGGTAGTTTCAGGACAGAACCAAGATCCAGTGGCAGTATTTAAGRAAAAGGTGGCACTGAATCACTTCAACCTGTTTGGTTGGTTAAAACAGGAACTCGATTTCTAATGCTATCATTTGAACACTTAATGTAATTACTTGAACCTTGACTTCTAATTGTTAAATACATAAGTGACAAAGAGGCTCAAAGTAACTAGAATATTTAAGCTGAAGTTTCCAAAGTTAAAAATATGAAGTTTACCTTAATATGCTGAGGATTTTTTCCAGGTGTTTAACATCCGTGCATTTTTCAATGAATTTGTAATCCAGATGACCAATTGGTATTCGATATTTCTTAGTTGTTCCTTGATCGAACAAAGATGGTACTGAGTCATCACTCATAACTAAATATTAAAAGAAAAATTTAATGATTCTCTGGCACTCAATTGTATTTTCAATCAATGTTAATGTAAAGAGTAGACCTGCCTATGCTTCTAAATAATATTTCCTTATGCAAGCAGACCTATTGACACAAAAGAGATTTTCAAATTGAAGCCTTGATTTCACGCTTCTCTTTTAGCAGAACTCTACTGACCATAAACATCCATATGTTTATGAATACATGAGAGAGATGTTTTAGAAAAAGTATACATACAGCTTTACTATTTCTGTGAGGCAGAACTAGTCAGCTAGTCAGAATTGCTTCTAAAGAAAAACATTCATGCTTACATCTGCATTTCCTATTTTTTTATTACACACAATGTGGTAACACTGAAAATATCTGCAGAAAAATTGATTCCTACTTTTAGTTCTCAGATAGGAAGATTTAACTTTCTGATAAAATTCAAGATGTCCTTCCCCAGTTAACTGCAAAATATCCAATGACATTTCTCTGATCAAAACTCACAAGCAGAACCTTGTCAGCATCTTCCCCTGACCTTGAAGGCCTCTTCACTATGATCGTTCATGTTTTGCYTTAAATCTCATTTTTCTTTTGCTTCTCTGCTTTTCTATGCTAGTGATCAACTTACTGCATACATCCAACTGTCCTTCTCATCTCTTCTGGATCAGCATACTTCTCTGTTTTTCTTTCAAGACTGGAGGGAGCTTTTCTTCTCATACTCTACCTATTCCTCTGAAAGGGCAGTCCCCCAAGATTAAACTGAATTACCTTTATTGTCTTAGTGCTTTACCTTTTTACTTTTATGTGTCTCCTCCTGTCAAAGTCACCTCTAGGACACTTTCTTAGTGATCTTCAGCTCACAGAGAGCTCTTGTTGTTTTCAGTCTCCTCAGGGACTTCCTCAGCCTTTGGTAACCCTGGGTACAAATGCCACTATCTTGTTTATAGCTCAAAATAGTAGACAGAAATCAATGAACATGAAAACACAACAAAACTGAAACATCAGTATAAATGGAGATAAAGGGTGCAGAAACTTCTTTTTTCCTCCAGAGTTGAGATGTTAAACCAACCCACCTTGCTGCTTGATAAACTTCATCTTCTCTGTAGCCAAAATAAATGCTGTGCTCATCTTTCCTCACAATTTTCTGGGATTCTGATATCTGAACTTACCTGCATCTTCTCCCYAAGTCCACAACTTGGGACAAGTAAGGTGTTCTAAGCGTACTCTCCGTCATCCTTGGTACTTATTTTAATACTTATGTTTATTTGTGTTGTTTTTCTTTGTTTGTTTTTCTACTTATATTCCAAGCTTTACAGAGTAGAAGTTGTTTTTTTTTTTCCTTCCTTTTCGACTGTTATGTAGCACTTGAATTTATCACTTGTGTTTACATTGGTATCACCGGGACAGTTAGTAGGTGACATGCAGGAATTGCTATTGTCAAAATAACTGTGTTCCAGTGTCTAGCAGAATTACCCCTGTACTATTTGCACAAACAACGCTTATATTACAGCATCACTTAGCTCATAACAGGTCATCTGCAGGTATGACATAAATACATGTTTCTGCCTCAATGGCCAAGTATTTTAGTACCAAAAAAAAAAGAAAAAAAAAAGGAAAAAGAGAAAAGAAAAAGAAATAATGTGCATAGAGAGACAGACTAATAGAGGAAAAAGACAAAAACAAGAAGTAGGAAGGACACAAAGCGCCAAGTTTCATCTGCTCCAGTACTCGCACGACCCTGGGCACCGGGAGGCCGCTCCGGCAGCGCCGTGTCCCGCTCGGCAGCTGCTGCCGGTGCCCCTGTCCCCAAGCCGGGGCAGGAACAGGACCCACGTACCCACGTTAAGGACAACGCCGGGTCCCCCCGACCCCGCCTGACCGCGGCCGGGAGCCCGGGCCCGCGCGGCGCCGCGTAGCAACCGTTGCTATGTACAACATGGCGGCGCACGGCGCTGCGCCGCGGTGCGCGGGCTCCCCTCTGCGGCCGCGCCTCGGCGGGCTCCCATGGCGGGGCCCGCCGGCCCCGGTACCCACCTGCGCGGGACCCGGCGCCCACCAGCCCGGGGTACCCACCAGCCCGGGGTACCCACCAGCCCGGGGTACCCGCCACGCCGCCCGCCCCCTCGTCTCGGTTTCGGCCTCAGCCGCCGCCGCGCATGCGCAGCCGGCGCGGAGGCTGCGGCGCCGCCTCTCGGCGAAGGCGCCATTACGCGTGAGGCGGCGGCGGGCGCACGGCTGGTGCCGCCAGCCACGCAGGTTTATAACCACGGCGGGCCTTTCTGCCGCCCCAACCCGCACGTTGTGCGCTTGAGAAAGCCCTTGCCAAGCCTCGGCAAATAGTTTAGTGAGGCAGAGTGTCTTGACACGTTGTTACCCTACTTGGGTGTTTGACTTTCAAGAAACAACGTGGGTAAGAAAGGCCTTCACCTTTCTTCACCTACATGCTCTACCCCTAAAGCTTCTCACAGCACCTATGCGTTCACAAGTCAAATGTCATTAGGCCTTTCCTATCAGGAAAGGAATTCCACCTTCACTTCCCACAGTCCACAGCCTGGCTATCAGCTTAATCAAGTTGAGGTCAGACRTATGGAACTCTTAGGGGCACCGTTAGCACTACCAAAATTTGAATTTACAAGCATTTAAGATTACATTTACAGCACACACAATCTAGCAGTATCTTCTAATACACTCCAGTAATAAGAATAATTTATTAACACATATTCCAAATAACCAAATGGATCCAAGGCATCTTTGCTCTTTGATATAAAGCAACCCTCTTAAGCYTTCAATTACAAAGGCAATGCAGATTTTCAGTAGAAAGAGCCCTGTATAAATAAGACTCCCAAGAATTCACGTGAAAAGCAAAGCAGACTTATTTTAGTTGTGGACCACACCTAAATTACCTTTATGCCACAGTCCTCTCCCTAAGAATGACCAAGTCATGGAACAGTTCGGCAATTTCTATTTACACAGTTTCTTAATTTTTCTTTCCTTCCTCTTCCCTTCTTCATGGAGGGGATGATGATGATGATGATTCTTCAAAACTTCTTTCCCAAATGAGGGAAACACTTATCTAAAATCCTGAGACTTCCCCCATTTGAAAGCTAGATACTTGCTTGAGACCTAGCTTTTATTTTCAGTGAAATTTACACAATYCAAGGTTGTTTCTATGCAATTCATTTAAGTCCAAAGAACATTTAACATAGTTCAAAACCAAAATTTACTAGAGAACCATGAAAGCAAGTTTACTGTGACTTAAAAGCTAATACAATATTACTGAATTTAAAAAGACAACAGTTTAAGCCACCACTTTAGAAATGTATTATGGAAAGGTGTAATGGACAAAGTTTACCATCACATTGAAGAGTGCTATTTCAAATCTTAAAATACAAATAAAATGTATTTGTGCACAAGAAGATTTACACAGAAAATTCAACTGAAATACTGTTGTACAGAACTGCAATAAGAAGTCACCAAATCTTCAGCTCACATCACCGGGCATCAAAAACCACCACTGTAATAGTACAGTTAAAGGAAAACTAGATTGAAAAAAATATATGTCATATCAGGGGATGAAATGGGAGAGACTGCCTAAGCATATAGTTACAAGAAATCACACCAAAGCTTTCAGTAATTTCATTTTTAACTAACTGCTCAACACTTCCCATTTGTTAGAAGACCATATTATATAAAACATTTACAATATAGCAACCCAAAAACTATCATGGCTTACTATATTTTGCATTAAAATAAATGAAGGGAAAAAATTAAAAGCATCGAGGAAGAAAACAAACTCTCTAACTACACTGTCTAGATATCCCTATAGTAATTTGCTCTATTGCATTGACACGGCCTTGAAAAATCCTTATATATTTGCCCCCCTTTTCACTGTTGGTCTCTCTGTATTCCTTACCCCCATCTACAGCTTCCAAAATGCATTCAAGTGTCTGTGTAAAAGGATACATCTTTTTGTCCTTTTCTTGTACATTATTCTGTACCCACATTCTCGACATCTGATAGGATCTCTTGCCTTTATTTCATTTTCTGTATGACATTCTGATGTGATGGAAAAAGAGAAAGGGAATGAGAAAAAACAAAAAGCATTGTTAAAGCAACGATACATCTTCCAGAAGTCATAACATTCAAATTCATATTTGTGATAAAAAAAAGTGCTAAGAAATTGATAATTTTAAGATACTTTGCAAATAACATGGTTGATAWAATTGAATTTCACTAAGATATGAGGATCTTGCTATAATCACTAAATTATTATTGCAAAGAACACATTCCACTTCTAATATCACCATGGGGTCTACTAATGAAATCTTTAATTCTCACATTTATTTTCTTTAAAGACATAAAATATTTTGTAACTGTGCCTCTCAAAGTGACCACTGAAAAAAAGCCTGTGTTTTAATCTAGCTATAGTTAGAGGAAGTTTTAATCTCATACTTTAATATTCAAAAAAAAAAAAAACCCAAACACCACCACAGTGGACTAAATAAAAGTCCACTAAGTCTACTTTTAATAATCTGCATCACAATAACTTAAAGAAAGTGTTCTGTRGATGGGGCCCCTACACTGCAGCAGACACTTTCTTGAAATACTTATATGTTACTCTTATCAGAGCAGAAAGCTTAACGGATCATCCAGCTCCAGTGTCCTACTACAGATACGAGGACTGTGCATTCTACATCATTAAAACATCAAACCTCCAAGAACAAGCAGAAAATGACAGAAACATCTTCCCTTTACCTCCGCAGATGTAAATCATTGGCTGCTGCTTTGGAGGCTGAACATCCTTTTGGGAATCCATGATCTAGGCAAAAAAAAAAAAAAAAAAAAAAAAAAGCATACACACCAGTGTTTTTTTTTCAAGTAATATATAGGCATTTCTGTATCTCCATCTACAACCAAAAGAAGAGGGGAGACTTCCATAAAAGCAAAGGCAAACAAATCCTTTTGCATTCTAGATCCATTAGCATTTTAGAATAGCACTATTTACTTCAGACGGGMCTGGATGAAGATGATCAACGGGCACGTATAGGGGTAAATAACCGAGGATGGCGYTGCCACTCACACACCCGGGTTCGAGCTGAAAACCAGCAAACAGGAGCTAAGCCTCGCGCTCCACCCGCGCAGCGGGTGGCACCGCAGCCACCACACTGCCCAGGCCGCCACCACGGGCGCGGCAGCGCGCGGGGACACACTGCGGGCCGAGCATCAGCAGCGCGGCCTCCCCTCGCCCCACGGCCGCGGAGCTCCGGGGAGCGGGGCCGCCCGCCTCGCACCCGGCCGGGCCCGCAGGCGCCGCAGCGGGACTTAGCGGCCGCGAGGCCGCGCCCTTCCCCGCTCGCCTCCCGCCGCGAAGGCGCCGCCAGCTCCGAGAGCAGGAGGAGAGAAGGGAGGGAGAGGCCGAAAGCCGCAGCGCGGCCCTGCCCGCTCACCGGCGCCAGCCGCCACGCTGCGCCCGCCGGCGCCGCCTGATGCCGTCAGCGCCGCGCGCCGCCTCTGCATCCCCCCCCCCGGCCGGGCGGAGCCGGCGCTGCAGCCGCTCCCTCCGCGGGGCGCGCAGCAGCCGTGGCCGCAGCGCCGCCTCCGCGCCGTGCCCCTCCGCGCCGTGCCCCTGCGCGCCCCTCCGCGCCGCCCATCCCGGACCCCCGCAGCGCCGGCAAAACGCCGAACGCGCTTGCGGAGCTCGGCGGCCGACGGAAAGAGCCGCCGCTCCGAAGCGGGGACGGGAGCAGCTCTCCCGCCTAACGGTTTTGAGACTCCCTCTCCCGGCGAGGAGACTCCCTCTCCCGTCTCCCCCATGCCCCGCGAACCAGAATCCTGAGGGAAGCGAAGGCTGCGGCGGCCCGTGATGGCTCCGAGCTTCCTTTTTTTTCTCTATTATTTTCAGAGATATCTTACCTAATATATATTCTTTTTTTTTTTTCTCCTTCGCATCGTATATTTCATATCGAAACGAACTCACGAGGTACAATGCCTTATACTTCAACTGCAGCATCGTATTATCAAAAAGCAAACAAAAAAGCCTTCCARTTTCTACTACTCCAGCACCTGCCAAACCGAAGTAATAAAATAATATAGAGAGAATTTGAAATGCCAGCTTAGTGGCTGGCTCCACATCGCCGGCGGTCTAAACTCGCAGTATTCCACTGCTGTTTGGTAGAACTGTCTGTTTTGGTCCGGTGCCATAAGAGCTACGCTTCTCCCTGGGCGAGGTTTAACAAAAGCTGCGTTTTGTAAATGCGCCAGTTTAAAGGGATTGCGCGTTTGAGAGAGCCTTGCGCGAGCGCGGGGATGTGAGCGGAGGCTCTGGCTGCGCCTGGGGCTGAACCGGGCTTGTTCCCCGAGTGACGGGCGTTTATTAACCGCTGTGTATTGACACTGTGTCCACAAATCACGCTCAAAAGTTGACCTTGAGCTAATCTAAATTAAATTTGTGAAATAACAGGTATTTGCCGTTTTCGCGTTTTTAAGTTAAGCGTGTAATAAAACCACAACATTTTTTAGACGGCTCGACTGGTTCTCTGCACTGCTTTGATCTATCTTCCTTCTRTATAACTTCGTGAGTGCCAGAATAAAACACTAACAAGGAAAAGGGTTCGTGAAAGACAGAGCTTTTCTTCCCCCGGGTCTTTTCYGCCCTTTCGTGGGTGTGAAAAGTTTGAAGCAGAGGGAAAATAACCTGAAACAAACTTCCCTTTAGTCATACGCACTAGGTGACTAAAATCCCATGGCTAAACAAGTAGGATACTCCTTCTCCAGGTTTGTTCTGTAATTTAAATGGATTTGTCAAAGTGATACTTTAAAACGGATTGCTAACTAGAAAACCACAAAAAAAAAAAAAAAAAAAAAAAAGTCAATTAAAGTTAATAACGGTTGTTGGCGTCTTTTAACTGTTCTCTAGGACCTTTATAAGTTTCCCTTACAGGTCTTAAAACTTGGGTCCCTTTCCCGATTTTTCTTAAGCTTGCTTCCCTTTAACGCGCCTTTTTAGCAGTAAAAGCGATTTTAATGGGCTGACAAACACAAGCCCTCAGGATGCTCCTTAGAGTAGCAGAAAGCGGGGAAAKGGAAGAGGGGAATGTGCGAGAGGTTCTCGCTGTTCATTAAACTCCGATAAAATGAGACCCAGGGAAATCCTTCCTTTGGAGAACAGAAAGTGTAAGGAAGCATCAGGGAAAGGTTTGTGCACTGGGTGGAGAGGAGGCGTGGGGTGTTTTTTAGACTGGAAGGAAATGTGATCTTATTCTAGCGCAGTGTGACTGTTTTAATATTTAATATCAATAGTTTGTTTAGAGACAGTGACTGGAACCTTATTTTTTGTGATGCCTTTTTTTTTTTTTTTAACAGCACATTCTTTTTGGTGAGATGTTTCTGTGTATTGCATTAAATCCCATGATAACTTATTTCATTTATTGGACTTTTTTTTGGTTATTATTATTGTTCTAAGTAGCACAGAAGCTGAAGGAACCACCGTTCTTAACTTATAGTTTTTTTTAAAAAAGATTATTTATGGAAATACATTTTTTAAAATCTTTTTTATCCTTTATCCTTGTAATCACCTAAAAACAATATTTTTATCAAAAAAAAAAAAAAAGAAAAATCACTCTTGAATTCTTCGTAAAAAAGGTACCATTTCCCCTGCTTTAGAAAGGTAACTTCTAAGTTCATATTTCCTCAGGTCCCTCTAGGCTGGAGGTTTTCCTGCCTCTTTCTCCAGCCCATATTTCCTTGTTCGAAAAGGCTGGAGAAGTGGGGCTGGCGCAGAGGAAAGGTGCAACCCCACCAGATCTCATTTGCTGGGATTTTAACTTAGCTTCCAAGCCACTTCAGAGAGCTCTTAATTTGCTAGAGAGCTCTTAATTTGCTACTTTAGGCGCGGGTATCACCCTGTAAAGACGATGCAGAGTAACTATTTTAGCAACCAGGTTCTAAGGGAGAATAATGCCCAGAGGAATGCGGCTACAAAGCTGATTAATTTCCCCGGTCTTTCCCTTGTTCCCGTGTGGGAAATGCCTCGGTCCCCATGGTGCGTGAGGCCTGCCCRCTCCCTTGGGCTCTCAGCAGCTCTCCCCTAGCTATTCTGGGGTCATCAGGTACTGGAGTGAGTGGAGCCCCTCCTGAGTCTCACCTACCTCGGGGGGAAAAATATTACACGTAATTATCATTAATTACTGTTGTTGTTATCAAAGGCTGTTAACTGCAAGCACGACAAAATCAGGCGCACTCCCTCCCCGACTGACAGCTTATATGGAGGAGGGCACCCCTTATAGCCCTCTCCATACCCCTCTTCCTCCCGGGCCTTGGGGTGCAAATCTCTGTAATTAACGTGAGTTAATTGGCCATTTGCTGCCCCCGGGCTTCGGGGCAGGCTGGGCTCGTCGCAGCCGTGGGGCGGTCGGCGGCGCCTCTGAGGGGGCCGCGCGGCGGCGGGAAAGCYTCAAGGGGCCCGAGGGGCAGCCCAGGCGAACGGGGGGCGCAGAAATATAAAGCGTGAGGAGAAGGGCGAGCGCCTTCCCTCCCGCTCGTCCCCGGCGGGGGGACTCTGCAGGGCCCCCCGCGCTCCCAAGGGAGGGAAGGCGGGCGGCAGCGCGGGGCGGCGGCGGCAGCGAGGCGGTTGGCGAGGGCGGGTAGTTCAAACCCAAGCGAGGGAAAGCGGCGCCTCGCGAGCAGCCGCTGTGGGTGGAGGGAAGCGGCTCCTCACTAGGGCAACGGGGAGCCGGGCGGCGGAGGCGGCGGGGTCCCGGCGGGGCCTTCCTCCCTCCTCGGGGAGCCCCGAGGGGGCAGCGCGTTTGGGGGGCTCGGCCCGAGGGGCGCGTGAGGAGGCGCAGTGCGGCCGGCGCCCCAGGTGCCGACACCTCCCCGCGCCTCAGGTGCTGCTCCCTAGGTCCCTAGGCAGCCGTCAATTATCCTCATCGCGGCGTAATTAAACCGAACAGTGAACGCGTATATAGAGCAACCGAAACGCTTTGTTTCCGAGTTGCTATTAAAGTGCTGGGTGCCGTTTCTCTGTTGGGCTCTCCCTCTTCTCGCAATCCCCTTAACTCCCCCACTTTTATTTTATTTTATTTTATTTTTACGCTTAGGACCTCGGTAGGGGTAAATCACTCTCTGAATACAGCGCCCTTGCATGCGGAGATCTCGAGTTGCTTCGTAAATTAGGGTAAGTGACCCCCACGTTACAGCAGCCCTCCTCGTTCTAGTGTCTCCCGTGACCGCCCTGGTTTGGCACCTCGGAGCCCCAAATTCCCGCCTAAACACAGTTTTGTTGTAGTTGTGATAATCGTTGAAGTAACAGAGAGGGCAGCCCTGTACCACAGCGCTTGGTCTTCATCTGTGGTGAGCAGTGGTAAACWGAGAGAGAAAACAAGTGTTTTCTGAGGTAAAAACGACTGCTATGTATYATTTAAGCATGTAAAATAGCCTAAGTATCAAGTTTAACTCCATCCTGGAGCTGATGTCTCAGTGTCATTTATGCTGCATTTTAGTAACCATCATTTTCCCACTGCCTCTCTAGGGCATACTGTAAGAATAAGCTTGTTACCTGTTATTCCTTGCCTAAATATCCCAACCTTGTGCTTAGTTTAGTTATGTTCTCTGAATACAAATCTGTACAGAGCACTGGATTCTGTAAACTGACAGGAAATGTGCAGTTCACTTGTATATCAGTTTGGGAAGCACAAACATATCTATAAGGATGGGAGAAATAGGCGGAGTACAAGAGTCTGTGATCAGCAGATACTTCAAGATCTCCAGTCGAAAAAGAATTTAAATTATGTAACAAACCTAGTAGAGCAAAATTCTCCCTGAGA